ATATAAGAGAAATCCATAGTAATATACCACAAAAATCTTAAACTCATATTAAGATTTAAATTTACTATAAAAAAATGGGGGGTAATTTAATTTCACAACAGGTCAACCAACTAATAAATTATTCATCTATTCCATTCCCCCTGGCCTTTTTACCTCTCAGGTCTAACGAAAATTTCTCTCTTTCCTGCGGTGGGGAAAAACATAAAAGTACATAAAAAATGAAAACTGAAAACGACACAGAACGCTTATGACTCTTTTCTCGCATGTGTGATCCAGAATTGGTGATTCCTTGATCCACAATACAAATTTGGATCGAAAGCAGGAAACTTGGAGAAGAACTCGTAATGGGTTTGATCGAACACGTCCAATCAATCAACTGGCAGCAGGAAGCGTACCCATCTTATGAGGATTTCGTTGTTCTTCCTTTCTTCGCTTTCTTCTTCCCCTCTGTCCGCTTCTTCCTTGATAGATTTGTGTTTGAGGTACTCGTATTTATATCTTATATGCACTTTTGCATGAATTTGAATCGAGTTTTGGGTTCTTCTTGCTCTGTTTGTGTTTGAGCTTTATTGAATCACAGATGGGTTTTTGCCAGGTTACTTGATTGATTCATATAAGATTCATAATCTTTTTCTTTTACGTGATTTTGCTTGCTACTGGCAGTTGTTGTTGTTGTTCATGTCATTAACATTTAGATTGATATTCTTCTGTGTCTTAAGGACCACGAAAATGTATGGTATATTTCATGAATCCAAAATTAGTTTGAGGGAAATTTTTTTAGAAAGGTAAAAATTTTTATGTTCAATTTAGAATTGGAAAAGTAGTTTTTGAGTTCCTCTTTAGTAATTGCCTTTCTTCACTTTATGCTTCTACGTGCTAAAGTCCACATCTTGAGTATGAAATATCTGTGTTTATTATATTGCTTCAGGTCTTTGCTATCCTATTTTTTCAGAAAAGCTATATACACTTCATCAGAATTATTAGTGTATTTAGCCAATGTTAGAAATTTGTTCCTTGAAATTTTGCTGGATTTTAATATAAGAATAAGCATCCTATTTTTGCTATTATTTCGTTGTAATCTTACATCCAAGTTACGTGCTTTTAGTTGAAAAGCTGCATTTTGCAGGCATGCTTGAAAGGTGTTACATTTTGTTTCTTCTTCTGCTGTTCTACAGTGCTCGAACTTGAGAATTTTCTGAAACCAATATGGATATAGTTCACCAATTTGCTAGGAAATTTACTGTTAGGTGGCTTCCAAAATGGAATTGATGAGGTTTATACTTATATAAATCACTAGATATTTGTTAGTTAAAAATGGAGCAATATTGTGCTATTTTCTGTAGCTTGACTAACATAAAGTTGAGATTTAGCCAAGCGTGGTGGCTCTTGTTGTAGATGAGCTAGATATTAGCTTAACGCCTTGACTTAAGGTTCATATAGCTTCTTGAAGCTTCAGTGAGCACTTTTTCACCTTTTATATGAGACAAAGAATAACTCCTTGAATTCTTAAACTTTTATCTGTAGATATTATTATTATTATTATTTTTTTTTGCCATTACCATGGAGTTTAATTAATGACAGGATATAGCAGGGAATTGTAAACAAACAAATTTAAAAGTTTTCTTAGATAAGGTTCTTGAAAGTATAATTTCTAAAATATTTATAGCCTTTTGTTTAAAGTTAAATCCCAACTTTTTTATTAGTTATTATAGGTGAAGCCTGAATGGTAGGTTATGCTGAACTGAAGTATGGCTTCTTAAGTTACTGAGTGACTCAAATTTGCCTAGTCTATTATCTGCGGGTTGAGTTGTTCATAAAAACTATCCTTTGGACTATCTGTCTGGCAGTTTTCACCTTTTTTGCTGCAGAAGTTTTATTTCCTTTGTTTTGATGGTCATCACTTCTTTCAACATCCACAGAATCTCTTATTACTGTGCCTTTGTTCTTGAGGGCATATCTAGCAATAGTGGGTTGCCACAAGAATTTCACATGTACATGTTGTTATCGGGGGCACGTCACTATAAAATTTTTTATTTAAAATTTTCATTCTAAAAGATATCTGAAATCGTTTTTTGCTTATTCAGAAAGTAGGTAGACGACTGATTTTTGGAAAGGAACACCGGGTGTCAGAAGTTGAAACAACTGAGGGAAAGAAAAAGATTAGAAAATTTAAGGAGTCAGCTTGGAAATGCATTTATTATCTTTCAGCAGAGCTTCTAGCAGTCTCTGTGACTTATGATGAGCCTTGGTTTACAAACACTAGGTACTTTTGGGTAGGGCCAGGAGATCAGGTCTGGCCTGATCAAAAACTGAAGTAAGATTTCTTCAACTATAGTTAAGTATTTTCATGGTTATTAGATTCAAGTTTCTGACATTAGCTTATTTCCTTCCCCACATTCAACATTGGTAGGGAGATGAAGACTTAAACTCTATAAACTCAATAAGCTGACTGCTAGTTTCATTTTTCTAGGTTGAAATTGAGGGGACTGTATATGTATGCTGCTGGCTTTTACACATACTCTATATTCGCTTTAATCTTTTGGGAAACAAGGCGTTCTGACTTTGGGGTGTCCATGGGTCATCATTTTGCAACAGTTGTCCTCATTGTGCTGTCTTACATATGCAGGTAAGCTCGGATAGCTTCTAAGTTCAGTACCTGGATGTAGGGTACATAGTATAAGATTTAGGTAGCTGTTTGTTCCTTTCTTATGGCTGTTCCTTGCAGATTTGCTCGTGTTGGTTCAGTTGTTTTGGCAATTCATGATGCTAGTGATGTATTTCTGGAGATGGGAAAGATGTCCAAATATAGTGGAGCTGAAACAGTTGCTAGCTTTGCATTTGTTCTTTTCGTTTTGTCTTGGATCTTATTGCGCCTCATTTACTACCCTTTCTGGGTCCTTTGGAGTACAAGGTATGTATTAGTTGATTCCTCTATTTAATTTTTCTTTTTTTTTTTCTGGGTATTATCAGCATATGAGTGTGATACTGTGATGTTGGAGGGCCAGTAATTAGATAAAATCCATGCTAGATCTAAATTAGTGTCCCTCTCTTTGAAATTTGATCAAATACTGAAACCTTGTGAGTTGTGATGTTCTGAGTCTGAGTATCGAGCAGTTGAACAAGGGCTTATGCTCTCTAGTGTTGAGTTAAGCAATGAAGAGAGGTTTCCATTTGCACATCTATTGGTGTTCTTTTCTAAAACATGCTTAGTAATTAAAATCCCTCTCCTCTCCTTTGCCGTATAAGTGAAGAATATTTTGTTAATAAGCTTAGATAAGTTACATTTATTAATTTATCCCATGGAAAGGGAAGTCTGGGGATCAAAATCTTACTGTGCTTCTCATCTAATCTAGAGAATAAACATTGATTTTAAGAGAGTTATGCTTCTAATTGTGTGTTTTGCATTTTTCTTTTTTTTCCTCTATTGCAGCTATGAAGTTGTTCTGACATTGGACAAGAAAAAGCACCCGGTGGTTGGACCAATATATTATTATACTTTTAATACTCTTCTCTTCTGCTTGCTTGTTCTTCACATTTATTGGTGGGTCTTGATATATCGAATGGTTGTTAAACAAATTCAAGCAAGAGGCAAAGTAGGTGATGATGTTAGATCAGGTATGCAAAGGAACATGTTTCTCATATGGTTATCCAATGCAACTGCATGCAATTACGAGGTTCGGTTTAAAAAGGAATGATTGCATGTTGTAGACTTGTAATATATCCTTCAAGAGCATGATTCTGGAAATCTTTGCTTTTATGATCAAATTGGGTTCTTTTCTCTATAGTTTTTTTATTCCGCTTCCTTCTGATTGTTTTATTTTTACTATTATTATTTTATGCAGATTCTGAGGATGAAGATGAACATGAAGATTGATCTAGGAATAGTTACAGCTATACAATTCTATGTGACCCACGCAGAGGTAATCTGACTTTTATTCTGAAGTACCATGGTAGATACCGTTTTGAAGTCAAATCATTTGCCATTGTCATGCAGACTTGGTCAAAAAATACCCTTAAGCATCACGAAAACACATGATTGGAAGTATTAGTGGAGATGTTTAAATTGAAGTGATTATTGGTGTGATTGAAGCCTGATGCGTGGGTTTTATTTTTTTACACAACTAAAATTGCCCGTTATTACTTACCTAATGGCAAGGCAGGATATGCTGTGATCTTTTTTTACAAATAAATGCTGCATTTCTTTTCTTCATTAAGTTATTGTGAATTGATGAGCAAAGTGATGCTGACAACAAAATTGATGGCTTTATTCTGGGTAAAGAATCATACTTACTAATGCTTTGTGTAAAAAAAAAATTGAAAAATGGAAACTGATATTGCCAGAGGTTCCTCTGTTCCATTTTTTGTCTGATTGTCAATGCATTATGCATCCATCTCAAATTTACATAGATTTCTGTATCGTGTCTTCTGCAGATAAAGACGTGCCAAAGCTTAAACATTTATATTCTCTTTGGCTTGAATTGCCTTGTAACACTGTAGGAGTCATGCATTGTTCTGAGATCAGATACAGAAGTTTTTGAAAAGGTTCCCTTTGAAGAGACATTTAATTATTGATTTCAAGTTTTAACACTGAGCAGCTCCTCAGATTTGGTCTGAGTCTGCTGGTTCAACCAGGATTTGTTGTAAGAAAACGCATCATTACCTTGAAACTGCAACAGTTGATCTCATAGCCATTTGAGGGTTAATGAACTCATTATTTCTTTGATAACCACTACCACCTGCAAACCTCTTTTCTAATGCATGAGCTCATTAACTTCATTATAGGCTGAAGTGTCCATGGTGAACAGATTTTGTTTCATGTGGATTCTTAAACATTGATTTGGTAGTTATATTTTTCAGTTTATAATATTATGGCTTTTGGCTTCTGCTCTGTTAATGATTTGAATTTTCATGTAAATTTTGCATATTGAATATTGAGAAATCTGTTGGTTATTGGTGATGAAGCCTACTTTCCTGTTCTTTTTTTTTAAATGCATCATACATGCCAATTATAAAATGAACACAACTTAACCTGGATGTTTACTCCTTTTTGCGTCTTTTCCAGTCCAAACTCTAAAATATTAATCATAGAAGTGGATTTTTTTATCTAATAATTGTTATTTTGTAATATGGGGCAGTCTAAACTATAAAATATTTTATTATTTTTGTTATTATTATTATTATTTGGGTTATAAATTAAAAATGAAACAGCTTTTGGTCTAATGAGGAAGCACAAACCGAAGTTAAAATTGATCAGTTTTGCTTAAAACACTGTTAATGTAATGTATGCAATTCAAATTTGGGGACATCTTATTTCCATAAAAAAAAATTATTACAAAATTACGTAAGTCCATAACAACTCCCAAAAGATTCATCTTGAGCTTTTGTTAAAAATTTTTTTTTTTTATATGATTTGTTGATTTGAGTGGAAAGAGTTCGATTATTTGAATTTTTACTTGATTTTTTTAAATAAAATCTTGAATTCGACTATTGTAAATAGAAAAACAGATGTTAGGAGAGTTTTTCTTTAAAAAATTTAATTTGATTTAATTTTAAATTAATTAAGATTCAATATAATTATCAAAATATTAGTACTAAAAATTTTTTCCTCTCTTTTTCATCTTCTATTTTTTTCACCCATCTCCGACAACTTGTATTTTTGTTCTCTTCAGGAAGCCGAGACACTAGGCCCGGTTTTTTAGGCTTTTTCTTTCGTACTTGGCCCAATTATGGAAAAAAAGGCCTACATGTTTTGAATGACAAAATTCTTAAATTCACCCCCTCAAATAAAAAAAAAAAAATAGAGATAATTTTTAAAAATATTAAAATAAATTATTTTTAAAAATTATAAATTAAAATAAATTATTAATTTTTTTAACATATGATATCAAAATTCTGTTTATTTATTATGTAAGTATTTTTCTTTAAAAAAAATGATATCATACATTAAAAAAAAGTAAATGCTTCATCTCGATTTATAATGTAAAGAAAATTTATCCCTATATTTTCTTTTAGGGTGATCTCTCCTTATCCCTAGTTTGACGGGCGCATTTGGGGTTTTTGCCTTTTGAATCCTATAAAATCCGGAGTGAAGGAAGAAGCGGCCCCGTCGAAAGAAGCTGGACTCGATTCGCCGGTATGTCACTTCTTCCCTTCCTCCTTTTCTTTTACCCAAAACCCTTTCAAGGGTGAGGAACACAATCTGCTGATAACATAATCAATCCAAGAATTGCCCTTTTTATGCTCTGCAGATGTACTTCAATCTTCTAATTTCTTCTGGGCGCAATTTAGTTTTTCGAGTTTGTTTTTGTGTTTTAGAATCTGAGCTGATGTTTCATTTTGCTCCCAATTTGGCATGAGTTAATCTTGAACCTCAAGTTGCTATCTTTTTCATATCAAATTTCTTAGAATGAAATGGGAATTGAAAATTGGGCATTTTCGAATGAAAAGGGGAATACCGATTCTGCTGGATCGTTTTTTTTTTTTGGCTTATAGCGAGGTTTATGTCAACAGCCCATTTTAATTTCCTTAATTTTTTTTCTGCTCTAGTATTTAGAATTTTACTTTATTGCAGGTTAGATGTGTTCATTTTGCTGGTGTTTTCCTGCTCTTTTTGAATCTTGATTTACAGGTGTTAGGATGTGAATTTATTTGACTGGATTTTGTAGAGATGGAATTCATACATTTGAACTATGCTTTGTATTTGGAAAATGCACCAAAGTCATATTTGTAAACTATTCTTGTGAGTTAGTCACAGAACTATCCATAGTTATACCCATTTTAAATGTCTTTGATTCTGTAGATTCTCGTGTTGAATTTGCTAACAACGTATATACTCACACTTGCTTTGTTGGAGATTAGTGCTGATAATTCTGCCCTTTTCCCAGTTTGGCAGATTGTGAAAGTCTGAAACTCTAATAGTTATAGATATGGAAGATGTACTAACAGAAATACCTCCACCTTCAAGATTCTTTCAGGAAGATCTTAACAACTTTGTACCTCCATTGCCATCTCTTCCCTTGCCCTTCCTTGTGTTTTCTAACCCCAAGCCAAGTATGCCTCTTCGTCCAGCTTTCCTCATCATTGCTTTATCTTCTCCATCTTTGTATGTGCTCCACCATATGTCGTCTAAGACCTTAATTGGAAGTCTTATCCTTCCTGAGACATCTTTCTCTGGTATTTCTGCCGAGCCCTCTCTTGGAGACAAATCCTGCAACATCTACGCTCTCAATGGTGCTGATAATCTAGTGCTCCTTGTGTTGGTTCAGTGTAATGTCACTGCAGAGAGATCCCATACTGTCGCGAGAATGCTCATTGGTGAAGATATAGTTCCTGAAAGGGTTCTGATCTTGGATTCAGTTCAGAGCAGGAATTTTAGGGGCAAGCTATCAGCAGATGAAACACTTGCCTTCAAGCTAGAGACATCAGCAGAAAGAGGAGCATTGGCTGGTGGCTCTGGAGGTTCACTAATGTTAAAGGGTCTACACTATTTTCCATCAGGAAGTATGATTGATGGATTGCCTGCTGCTCTGTTGAGTCGTTGCCAATTGAGGAACATCAAAGGAACTTTGTGTGTTTCATGGCCTGAGTTTGGAGGTTCTGTGGTGGCTCTAGTTAAATCACTACTGCTGAGTGTGCTGCCTAACTTGGACTTTAGCTTAAAGGGTGAGGGCGAGGATCAATATGCAAAGTTTAGTCGAATTAAGGATCAGCCTTTCGATTCTGAGCTGTATACATAACGAACTAGGCTAGGAGCTTATCTTTTTCTCTACATCACATGTACTTTTACTATTA